CGTCCCTCTTTTCTTTTGTTCATACTTTGGAAAATTTTCTAAGTATTGAACTAAATGTCACACTTGGAGAATTTTCCAAGTGTCAAATTGAGTAGTTCCTTCCTCGGCCAATACGACCAGTGTGGAATAGATTCTCATGCCAAGGTGGTCTCGTCGGCCTGTGTTTTTTTTTCGGCCATTTTTCCTTGCCGTTTTCATGCCTCGTGTTTGAACAAGAAGTCAAACCTAATTTCTGTAGTCGTAACCGATGAGGGGACCAGTCCTTTTCTCGGTTGAGGGGAAATGTCCGCTTCGCCTTTGTGACACTTAACGTCACACTGTTGTGGGCTTCTCTAAGTTTCCCGCTTAGAAAGTTTTGGGAATCGTTCCAAGTCTGGATAGACTTAGACCTTTGCCCTCATCGGCCACTCTGGATGGTGCTCAGGGATTTCTCCAAGTACGTAGAAAATTTTTCTAAGTGTTTGAACACACTTGGGCGATTGCTTCCTTTGTGAGTAGCTGATGACGGCCTCCCCTTTGGGTTGTCTGATGTCGGCCACGTGGTGCCCCTTTTCGGCCCCAGGAGTTTACCTTGGTAATTTTGTCCAAGTTTTTTTTATAGAGCTTTCGTCAGTAATGCGTGATGCTTTGCCTGATATGTACTTAAACAATTTTGGGGATTTTTATTTTTATTGCTCGAGGCCGGCGAGTGCGCAGCTCATCGGCTTCCCTCTTTTATTTTTTGGGGATATCGCTTCACGCCGGCAAGTGTGCGGTCCTTTGGCTGTCCCTCTTTCATTTTTGGGGATATCGCTTCAGGCCGGCAAGCGCGCGGTCCTTCGGCTGTCCCTCTTTTATTTTTTGGGGATATCGCTTCAGGCCGGCAAGTGCGCGGCTCATCGGCTGTCCCTCTTTTATTTTCTTCCTCCTTACTCATTTGAGCGAGGGGTGGGTGTCCTTCTTTCAGGCTTCGGCCAAGGGGGTCGATAGTCCCTTGGCCGGTAAGGAGTCCTACTGGATCGTCCTGGGATCTCAAGGAGGTCCCGTCGCTTGTATATGACGCGGGCTGAGGCTTTTGGTCGGTTATCGACGGCTGCCGTTTCCCATCCTTGAGTTTGGGGATTTTTGTCACCTAGGCCATGATTTCAGACCCGTCGTCCTGCTGATTTCGCGGATAGACGACGCGGTGAGCTTTCCATTTCAAGACGTGGGCTCTTTGCGGGCCCTTCGTCCTGGGGACACCGTCGGCCTTTCCTAAGCATTTTCGCTTTGAGGGTTCGGGACGGTGTGCTCTGTTGACCTTTCCTGGGCATTTTTCGCCCTGAGGGGTCAGTGTAGTATGGTAGGTTTCTGATCTTTTAGAGAAGTAGAAACAACTTTTATTAATAAGTGGCTCGAGACCGAGGGTGGCGTCCGACCAACAATCCGTGGGAAGGTGAGGGCTCTGCAGGCTGCACCGTCCCCAGATTATTGATAGAATTTCACCAAGTGATGTACATTCCACGTTCGTGGTACATTAGACCCATTTGGGTGTTTTAATTTGTAGGTGCCGGGTTTGACTACGGAACTGATGATGTAGGGACCCTCGTATTTGAGTGCTAACTTGCCACCTTATGTCGACTTGCTCGCCTCTCTTCGGCGAAGGACATAGTCCCCCACCTGAAATTCCCGGGAACGTACCTTGGCGTCATAGTATGAAGGCCTGCTCTCGTCTTTCTTTGATCAGGTGGAGGTCAATCTTCATGTTTTCTTCATTGGTTTCGGGCTCATAGTGCTCCACCCGTCGGCTAGGTATTGTGACCTCTGTGGGGGCCTTTGTTTCAAAGCCATAGCAAAGGGCAAAGGGTGTCTCGCCCGTTGCCCTCCTCGGCGTAGTACGGTAGCACCATAAGATATTGGGGAGCTCATCGGCCCAACTACCCCCTGCGTCCTGTAGTTTCTTCTTCAGGTCCTCCAGGATGGTTCTGTTGGCGTTCTCGACCTGCCCATTGCCTTGAGGATAGGCCACGGAGGAGAAACTATGCTTGATTCCCCACTCCTGGAGGAGCTCTTGAAAGGGTGCGGCCTCGAACTGGGTACCGTTGTCGGATATGATCTCCTGAGGGACGCCGAAGCGGGTGAGGATGTTTTTGTGGACGAATTTCTGACACCTGGCCCCTGTGATGCTGGCCAAAGGTTCTGCCTCAACCCATTTCGTGAAGTAGTCTACGGCGACGATGATGTATCGATTGTTGGCAGCGGCTCTGGGCAGGGGGCCGACCAGGTCAATACCCCATCTTGAGAATGGGATTGCTGTGCTGACCGAGGCGTAGTTGACGGCTGGCCGACCAGGGGCTTTCTGAAGGACCTGGAATGCGGTACACTTTCTTGCCAGATTGGCACAATCCCGTGCCATCGTCGGCCAGAAATAGCCCTGGACGACGAGACGCAGGGACATGCTGAAAGGGACCTGGTGGGAGGAGCAGATGCCACAGTGAACTTCTTCCATGGCCACTTCGGCCTCATCTGGGTGCAGACATTGGAGGAGGGTGCCGTTGTAAGATCTTTTATAAAGTTTCCCATCCTCGATGGTGTAGCTCGGGGCCCTGAGTTTGGCTAGCTTGGCCCTCTCCTCGTCCTGGGGCAACTCTCCCGAGGTGATGAACGTCATGATGTCGGTAATCCAGTCCTCTGGCCGCTGTTGGATGCACGTGACCGGGCTAACATGGATGCTGGACATGCTCAACTCTTCGACCTTGGCTATCTTGAAGATGTGCTCTGGAGTGTCTGAGCTGAGTTTGGAGAGGATGTCGGCCTCAGCATTCTCCGCCCTTGGGATCTGGGTGATCTCGTGGGTTTCGAATGCCTTAAGCAACTCCTCGGACGCCTGCTTGTACTGCCTCGTCCTTGCTTCTTTAGCCTCGTATGAGCCCTCGATCTGGCCCACCACCAGTTTGGAGTCGCATCTGATTTTGATGTGTCACGCCTTGAGGCCGGCGGCAAGTCTGAGGCCGCTGATGAGGGCCTCATACTCGGCCTCGTTGTTGGATACCCTGAAGTTGAAGCGGATTTCATAGTAGGCTCTGAATCCTTCAGGGGAGATGAGGACGCCGCCGCCACCACAAGCTTTGGTGGCCGATGAACCGTCAGTGAAGAGAGTCCATGCTTTGTCTGGCTCTGGCCCAGGTGTGGTAGCGGCCGTCTCCCTGGCTTTACATTCGGTGACGAAGTCGGCCAAGGCCTGCCCCTTGATGGATGGCCTTGGCTTGATCTCTATCTGGAACTGGCTGAGGAAGATCGCCCATTTCACCATCCGTGAGGAACTGGTGGGGCTCCGCATGAGTGCACCGAGGGGTTGCTGAGTTAAGACGTGGACGGCGTGGGCCTGGAAGTAGTGCCCTAGTTTCTTCAGTGTATGGACGATGGCCAATACCGTCTTCTCAATGGGAGAGTACCTGAGCTCGGCCTCCCATAACGTCTTGCTCGTGTAGAAAATTGCCTTCTGTACCGCCTCGTCCTCGCGGATGAGCATGGAGCTGACGGTCGAAGTGCTCACCCCCAAGTATAGGAAAAGTGTTTCACCGGTTTTAGGCTTGGAAAGCACGGGTGGGGGCGACAAGTACCTTTTCAATTCCTGAAATGCTTGCTGGCACTCTGTCGTCCATCCGAAGCCATTTGCTTTGCGCATGATCTGAAAGAAAGGGAGAGACCTTTCAGCCGATTTTGAGGAAACGGTTCAGGGCCGCAAGGCGTCCCGTCAGCCGTTGTACCTCCTTCACACTTCGCGGTGGCTCCATGTTGACAATAGCATGTATCTTCTCCGGGTTGATCTCAATGCCCCTTCGGCTAACCATATAACCGAGGAACTTGCCTTCTTGGACTCCGAAGGTGCACTTCTTCGGATTTAGGCAGAACTGGAACTTCTTCATTATCTCAAAAATTTCTCGGAGGTCGGAGGCGTGGCTAACGGATTGTCTGCTCTTGACGATCATGTCGTCGGCATACGCCTCCATCGTCCGGCCGAGGACTGCTCTGAAGACCTTGGCTACTATTCTGGTGTATGTGGCGCCTGAGTTCTTGAGCCCAAAGGCCATGACGAGGTAGCAGAAAATTCCCTCCGGGGTCATGAAGGTCGTCTTCTCGGCGTCATCTTCATGCATGAATATCTGGTGGTACCCCCTGAAGGTGTCAAGGAATGACATCAACTCGCATCCCGCCGTCTCATCCACCAGTTGATCAATGTTGGGGAGAGGGAACGGGTCCATGGGGCACGCCTTGTTCAGGTCAGTGTAATCAACGCACGTTCTGAACGTCGGCGGCTTCTGTGCGAGGACGACGTTGGCGGACCAGGTGGGGTACTTCACCTCCTTAATGTGGTTGATGGAGAGGAGCATGGTAATTTCCCCTTTGGCGAAGTCACGTCTGTCGGTCGAGAGGTAGCGCCACTTTTGCTTGATCCGGCTGAGAGGCGGGATCGACTGACAGCCGGTGAGTGATCACTTTTCGGCTGATGCCAGGCATGTCGTCCGTCCCCACGCAAAAATGATGGCATATGACCGCAGGATGCTGAGTTGGCGTCCTGTTCTCCCCCGTCCTTGGCATGAGTGCGCGTAGGACGGTGGGGTTCTGGGCCAAGCTGGCGATGATGGCCGAGAGAGCGGCCTGGAGCTGAGGATCAACGGCGGGAGAGGCCGGTTGCGCTGAGGCGTTGTCACCTTTCTCCGCACGTTTTTTGTCCAAGCCGATGCGGGCATCAGAGGCGCCGCCGTTGAGCTTGTTGCGTAGGTCTCCCGCGAGGTCGATGGCTTCCTCGAAGACATCTCCCCCGACGGCCTTGTCGGCCGTAGCGTCCTCCTCGTGCTCTGGGTTCTCTTACGTCTCAGGGATGGCCTTGCTGAGGAGGTTGCGGTTTGACTTAGTTCTTCCCATTATCAGTTAGCTGTGCTTGGTGGCGACGAAGGAGGCTAACCTGATTGTTCTAGCTCTCAATGAAATCACCAAATGATAGACTATAAGTCTAGAGAGAAGGGAGAGCTAGAGAGAGAAGTTCTATATTTGCTCTTTATCAATGAATTTGTGAACCCTTACAACTACTCCCAGAGAGAGTATTTATAGGAAAAATTATGGCTGGGCTCCCAAGTCTTGGGCTTGGGAGGCCCATTTACAATACTACTTTTGTAATACTACTTTTGAAGATGGTATTCCTACTCCGGTAATCTTTCCTTTGTTCGTCAACCTGTCTTGAGGAGGAGGTTTTTGATTTTAGATAAGCTCTATTCTTGTTATTCTAGCCTTGCGATTCTCTGGCCTGGGGGATTGAGTTTCAAAAAACAGTTTGTGGGATGTATATCGGAGAAGATGAATGGGGTTGGACTTGTGTTTTTTTTCGTCTGCTGTTAGGTCGCCTCTCTGCTTCCTTTTCACCTACGCCGCCGAGGGTCGCCGGGGCTCGACGGGGGTGGGGGCGGTGAGGGGGATTACGGCTTACAGTTATTTTTTTGGCTTGGATTCGATACCCCCACTTTTCAGGCCACCGGACTGTCTGGTAGATGCTGAAGCCATGATGGGGTGGCTGGGGGTGGGTGGTGCGTGCTTTACTTTCCGGCTGGTTACCTTCTCTCTTTCTTCCTTGCCTGACCACCGGGGTGTCGCTGGAACCTGGTGGGGTTTGGAGGGGAGGAGTCTCACGTGCGAGCATGACTGTGTGGGTTCTTTGCTATCAGCGACTGACCGAAGCTCTGCCGGCGACGAGGATGGCAAAGTCAACGTTCTAATACGTTGTTTGGACCGCCCATGTCGTCCTGTCAGTTACTGTAGCACCACGTGCGCTTTTTTTTTGAATTGGGAAATCAACTGTGGCGCTAGGATGGAAGGGATGCCCTGTTGGGCCGAGCTGCAAACCCTAGCCTGCTATGGGACTTGGACGCTTCTGGTTTGGGCTCACCTGCTGGGCCTCGCTTGAGCTGCTGTAATAATGGTGTATGATGCTGAGTAGTGGACGGGCCTCTACCGGCCCAGAAGCTAGGAAGCTTGGATGACTTTTTCGTGATATTTATCTTTTGTAGAATTTTGATGAATGAGTCGGGGCTTGTCCGTGCCATTCTTGGATTGTGTTTTTTGTGATGCCCTTCGGGCTTTTGAAAAAATCTCCTCTCCCCCTACCTCTACCGCAAGGTGGGGTGGGGGGAGGCATATACGGTAGATACTATTTTAGGTTAGTGTGCTTACTTAGATAGTTTTCTCATTTTTGTGATGCATTGTACAATGCTATTTTCTGGATATATATACTCGTATATATTTACATTTTATCAAAAAAAAACTGATTCTAGGAATAAATAAGAACATTAGTACTTTTACACTTTGTTGGGATATTGGCCCGCAGGCCCAATACCCGAATCTAAGGCCCAAAATATCCATTTCGATAGGCGGGCCCATCATCTAGAAAATGAACCAGCTCTTGGGAAAATATGTACCGAACGAGATTCGGATCAATTAACATACTTGGGCTAAATCATTAATGAGCCAAATCATTAATGGGCGAGATCAATAATGACTCCAGATCAGATGTACCGAACGGAGATCGGACTAATCAGCGAACTCGAGCCAAACCAATGATGATTCCAGCAGGATTCACTGCCCGTTCGGGCAGCGGGTAGCCAACAAGTGGCAGGGGGCATTTATTGCTAAAGTATGACGGCAACTAGTGGGAGCATGGGTTCCAAGTGGCTAGATAAAGCAACCAAACAACATGAAGTACCCCATACCCCCCATTAGTATAAATTGAAGGATTAGTTTCATTGTAAGGGTTTAGCATTTTGATACTCAAGCCCTAGAATAGCCTTATTACTTTGGTTTCTTGTATTAAGCATCAATCTGACGTGCCGTTCGAAAAATTTCCTTGTAATCAAACAGGTCAATTGATACAAGTGGGCTTTTGAGCGTTCGATTATCCATCTTTTATATTTCTTTTACATACCGAATTATCGTCCATTTCCTAATATATCCAAAGTCTGTGTTGGGCTTTCGGATCTACGGGATTAAACCTCAACATTGGCGCCGTCTGTGGGAAACGAACCCACGACCAGAAAATGCAAGATCTGCCAATTGTATGCACCGATCCCCGGACGGCCAGCTACTTTCTACACCCCGATGACAGTTGCCCTTCCATTCGCCAGGTGGGGGATCGATTTGCTAGGGCCCCTACCTACTGCTCCCGGAGGATTAAAATACATCATCGTCGGGATAGATTATTTCACCAAGTGGGTGGAGGCCGAACCACTGGAAAGTATTACAGATTTCAAATGCCAAAAGTTCGTCTGGCAGAATATCATTTGCTGATTCGGTCTCCCCGAACAGATCATCACAGATAATGGCAAACAGTTCGTGAACAGTAAATTTGAAAACTATTTGGTCAAATGGCAAATCAAACATTCCAGAGCGTCCGTAGCATACCCTCAGATGAATGGCCAAGTAGAAAACATGAACCGTACCATTATGGATGGTATGAAGAAAAAACTAGAACACTGTTCCTCCTCATGGCCGGACCAATTGAATTATATCTTGTGGACATACAGAACGACACCCCGAACGGCTATTGGAGAGACTCCGTTTGCCCTTACCTATGGATTCCAGGCTAAAGTTCCAACAGAAATTCTGGTTCCCACACATCGAACGGTACATTATGACCCCGGACGCTCGGAGGATAATCTACGGGCCGAAATGCACTTCATAGAGGAAAGGAGGGACTTAGCTGCAATACGAATGGAGGAATATCATAGAGCGACAAGGAGATACTTTGATAAACAAGTGAAAATCCGATCGATCGAAGTAGGAGACTTGGTCCTGAAGAAACAGGAAAAGAGCAAACCCCTCGAAGGAGGAAAGATGGCACAAAATTGGGAAGGCCCTTATGAGGTCTGCAAAAAATATGCTTCAGGAATGTTCGCTCTACAATCTACCGAAGGCCGACCGACAGGGACTTGGAATGAAGAGCATCTGAGGAAATTTTATCAATAAAAACGGCTGTTGCCACCTCTTCAAAAAAAATGATGAGAGGGAGACATAACTTCCAGAGAGTCTCACCTCAGCTTTTAACATGTATAGTCATTCCAAATGAATAAATGACTTCCGTGTTAACAGTTTGGAGGGAGCCGCCACCTCAGCTAAAAGATTTTGACCCTGTGATCACGAACTGTAAAGGGATCAAAACGGCTTGGAGATGGTGTCAGAACAAGTATTGTCAAGACGAGCGACGTTCGGTAACATGTATTGTCGTCCGGGGAGGCACTGCTTTCAGGAAGTCTCATCTTAGCTTGTTAACACGTAGAATCATTCCGGATGACTGAATGACGAACGGGTTAACAGTTTGGAGGGAGCCGCCATTTTAGCTTGAGTAAGAAATCACCCGATCTAGTGATCTTGCTTACAGTTTTAAAGTGGTCACCTCAAACCCCTAATATGGATGATACGGATCGAGGAAACTCTTCGGAATGCATCGGAATTATGGGTTTGGAAGGGAGAGAGTCTCACCTCAGCTTTTAACACGTAGAATCATTCTGGACGACCGAATGACGAACGTGTTAACAATTTGGAGGAAGCCATCATCTCAGCTAAAAGATTTTGACCCTGTGATCACGAACGGAAAAGGGATCAAAACGGCTTGGAGATGGTGTCAGAACAAGTATTGTCAAGACGAGCCACGTTCGGTAACATGGATTGTCGTCCGGGGAGGCACTGCTTTCAGGAAGTCTCATCTCAGCTTGTTAACACGTAGAATCATTCCGGATGACCGAATGACGAACGGGTTAACAGTTTGGAGGGAGCCGCCATTTTAGCTTAAGTAAGAAATCACCCGATCTAGTGATCTTGCTTACAGTTTTAAAGTGGTCACCTCAAACCCCTAATATGGATGATACGGATCGAGGAAACTCTTCGGAATGCATCAGAATTATGGGTTTGGAAGGGAGAGAGTCTCACCTCAGCTTTTAACACGTAGAATCATTCCGGATGACCGAATGACGAACATGTTAACAGTTTGGAGGGAGCCATCATTTTAGCTAGCAGAATTTGACTCGTTCAAAATGGCTGGGAGATGATGTCAAAACTATAATTATGGACGAATCTGAGTAGCATCCGGAAAGAAGAAAGAAAGAAAGAAAGAAAGAAAGAAAGAAAGAAAAAGAGAGGCATTTGAAAAGACAAGATTATGTATTGAATCGAGCTTTATTCTTCGGCACTACTGGTCGGAAAGTACAAAAAAAAAGAATAAAATTACAAAAATGGACTACTCTATTGGACGATTGCCGTTCGGGGATGATTGAGGTTTATGAGCCGCCGGCCTGTGCTGCATCATCAGAGATCGCTTTCTGTCTCATCTCCATCACCCGATCGTAAGTATTCCCGAACAGGTCATCAAATCCCAACTCATCAGGATCGAACGGCTTGGGGGAAGCGTTCGATGATCAGGTCGAGGTTCCTGTGTAGAAGCAGATCTTGACTTTGCTTCACAGTTTTCTCCGTCAGGACATCCAAGAAAGATTTCCCTTCGGGCGTGCTATCCAGAAACTCTATTCCCGACTTAATCGGGTCCTCGCTCTCACGCAAGAATTGGCCAAGATGAGGTCCCAAAAATTGCCGAGCGGTGTTCTGTAAAGCGATATCCAATCCTTTACTGCGTTTATATTCGATCAAGGCCTGATTGGTGATCTTGGAGGTGTTGCCAGTATACGGCCCGGGAGGATTATCTCCCGTTGATTTATCAAACCGCATCCCAGCGGATTCAGCCACTCTCACTTTGGCTCCGAGATCTCTAATTTCTCGATCACGACGTCGGGCCCTCTCCTCCATCTTAGCGAGATCAGCCTTCGCTTGTTCACCTTCATCAACACGGACTTGCAGATCTGCAGCCAGTTTCCGAGCGACGGAAAGGAGAACCTGGCTATCTTCCCGATCATTGGTTATACGCTTCATCTCCTGTTCAGCAACCAGGAAGGCCCGGTGATAGTATATCCGGCCTACAAACACTAAAAAAAGAAATCAGATAACATATACTAAATCAGTAGAAAATCAAGGTTTTAAAGGGGTTGATGATTGATCCGCACCTTGAGAGTCTCCAAGTGACCTGCCTCGACCAGGTCAGACCAATGGGTCAGAGTAGAAAAGCTGGGTGGAACCTTCAGGGAGGTACTGCACCACATAGAGGATGGCATCTACCCCAAATTGGAAAACTCCACAAACATCCGATCATCGACCGGTGTATTGCTAAAAACTGGAGTTTGGGGCTGGGCAAGGATGATAGGTTTTTTCAGCTTGTCATCTGGACCGGTCAAATCAACCACGTGATCGACCGGGATCAGTATGCTGCCGTCATTCCCTTTACGCTTCTTCCTGGTTTGATCAGAAGATGCATGATCAGCATTCATCTTCTCCTTGCCTTTTCCGGAGGAAGCAGTCAGAGTAGCGGCAGATATGGAACGCCGAACGGGTATAGGGGATATCACACCTACAAAAGAGGGAATAAGAGATAAGAAACTAAATTGAAAGGAGATCGATCGGGTTAAAACCCTGTTACACTTACCAATCCCAGCAGTTAGCATCTTGGAAGGGGTAATAAAACCCCGAAGACTCCGAGTTCCTCCCATACGTAAAGATTCGGCTTGAGAGCGCAGAACGACATCTATTCTGGGCTCAGAGTCCCGAACGGGGTAAGCGTTCCACCGATCAGGGAATGGGAGAGAATCGCCTATATGCACGAAGAGAAACCGTTCCTCCGAATCAGTCGGCGGAGTAGAGTTATCCGTAAACAACTGACGGTCAGCTCAGGCTACCAGCTTCAGGTACCCAGTACTCCAATAGGGCTGATAGAAGTAATGGTGTAGAAATAAATCGACACTTGGTGCGATCCTCAGTTCCTGGCATCGAATTATAAAGCCAGACAGAATGCGGTAGGTGCTGGGTATGAACTGAGCGGGAAGTACGAAGACCCGACGCAGGAACTCCACAACGAACGGATGTAGAGGGAAGTGAGGCCCAGCGATCAATGCATCAAGGTGCACAAGCACGTGCCCCGGTCGGTGCCTCATAGGATGCCTGATGAATCCGGCATAAAATTCTCTAGGCAGAGGCCGAAGTTGGCAAAGTTGTCATTCGGCGTCTTCAGGAAGACGTTGCTTTTGGTTGCGAATGCGGGTGAAATGCAAAGCAATGCAGGGTGGCCGTTCGGGCATTCCCTTATTATAAATCTTTACGTCATCTCCCGAAAGGCATCTGTCGTCAAGAGGCTGTTCGGCATCTTTGAGTACGGGAGGTTT